TGATTTTATTTTTAACATTGAATTAACATCCTCACACATAAATTAAAGTATTTTATCAAAAGACATACAACACATACGAAAGCATAGACATGCTAGGTCACTAACTGATCGGTTCGTCATTCTTCCAAACGCTTTCTTTGATTGTTCCATCACCATAGATGATTTTACCTTTACCATTCTTCATTCCATTTTCCCAGTTGCCTTTGAACGCATTGCCATTTTTATATCTATACACGCCGTATCCATGGAATTTATCATTGCGGAACGATCCTGTGTACACCTCACCATTGGCAAAATAAAGTATACCGCGTCCAGTTCTTTTATCATTTACAAAAGAACCTTCGTAACGATCACCGCTTTTCCAAGTCATCACGCCTTCTCCATTGAAATCTCCATTCTTGAATGGACCAACATATACTGCTCCAGTGGCAAATTTGAAAGTACCAGAACCATCTCTTGAGCCATTGACGTAATCACCTTCGTAGCTATTACCGTTTTTCCATGTCATCACACCTTTTCCATTGAACCAGTCGTCCACAAATGAACCAACATATTTCGTTCCATCAGCATAAATAAAGGTACCCTTTCCGTTTTTAGCCCCGTTCTTAAAATTACCAATATATTTGTTTCCATTAGAAAAGTAATATCGCCCATGACCAGATCTTTCTCCACCAACAAAATCACCTACATATCGCTCACCATTTTTCCAAGTCATTATGCCTTTTCCATTAAATTTTCCGTTCTTGAAATTACCGACATATTTCGTTCCACTGGCAAAAACAAAGGTACCATTTCCATTTTTTTCTCCATCTTTAAATGTACCTTCATAATGATCACCATTTGGATAATCAATGGCTACAATTAAATAAAACACACGCGCTTTATTTTTCGCATCTCGACTGCTCTACTTCAAATGGGTCTCATACACTCTTTTTCATTATGCTAGTCGTTCATCTGCTCGAACAGTTCTTTCTACTCACTTCTGACAGTGTTTTGTTCGTCGTTGACTTCTCCTTCGTGTCCGAGCACTGTGTCGTCGTCGTGCTTATCAGGTTTGGTTGAGTCGCCCTCTCCATCATCATCGAATTTAAACGAGCCATGATCGTCATCGTCATCGGCTTCAAGTGCCACCAAACCTGTGTCGTCCTTTCCCAGTTTACGGAATCTTCTACATTCCACACTTTCGAAGGCCAGCAACAGAATGTAACACAAGATCTACAATCGATCAGACATATCTTTCATCAATAATATGTTCATTATCAAAGTTTTTGGTATACGAACCAAGCATTTGTCTATTTGCATGATAAGTTATGGTTTTGGTGATGTTGTATGTGAATGTAACGCTTGTTGAATATATTCCTGTGTTAATATAGATGTGGAGATAACAAAGAATAGCGAGAGAAGTGATTCATATGTAGATATATCGGAAGAACGAAGACAAGAATCAGTGGTGTGTTAATATTTGTTTAATTCTCTGGTCGATCTATCTCTCGTCCGTGCGCGTTAGTGATTGTGAAGCCTGGATGTCTTTTTTCCTTCGTTCCTATTGTTTTCATTTTGAACTGACGATGTAATCGTTCTACATTTTACTTCGAAGTGTCCTACGTTCATGTTACATACTTGAATCACAGCAGGCTCTTTCTTAGTCTTTGGATATTTGTGCAATTAATAGAAAACATTAGTTAGTACTCTTAGAAGATA